TCCTCTAGGCATTTTGAGTCATCCTGCAGGTATTTTCACAAGGCGTGAAGAACCCCTACCTTTTTGGGTCAAGAAGAACCCCTACCTTGTGTCCAAGCAACCGTAAGACCAATTGCCACAGTAGAGCTCCAAGAGAGTCAGAAATCCTTATAAACAAGAAGGATCAACATCAAACTCCAACTCACATTATCACTTTGATTTACAACACACTTCCGCTTCTTGGGTTTGTTAAACCAATTATCCACTTCTTAGGATAACTCTTAAAGCTCAAGTTTGGATAAAAACTACAAATTCCATTTGAACAAAAACTATAAATTCACATTAAAGCTTAAGTTTGGATCAAACTAATAAAAAATACACACTTAGATTAAAAGCTTTCTCCCTAGCCTTAGCTAGGGAGTTAATTCCCCATAAAATAAAACTAAAACATAGAACTAGAATAATTGAACGAAGGAGAGAGCTCAAGAAAAGATTGTGAGCTTGGTGTGTTTTTACATCCGCGGCAACGCTGTATTTATAGGAATGGAAACTGCTCTTGTTGCATCGTATTTTTCCATGAATAGACAAATTCTCACCACTTGCCGTCAGCCCACAATCAGATAGCCATACATTTATTTATTATCCTCCATTTGCCTTTGTCTATACAATTCCCTCTATAGTGTTGTAGACTCCTCTTCTTTATTGGCTACACCCATTTTCTTATTCATTTATTCAATCCATGAGCTTGCTTAAAAGCTTGGTGCGGCACTCCAAGCTTCATTTTCAATATCTGCTGGTTAATGCTTCTTCTTTTCTAGGTTGGGCAACACCTCAAGCATAAGTTTGCTTATTTTTCTCCGGTGATGGCTGCACTTATGAAAGATGTACCTAAATAAGGCACTAACAATATAAATTTAGGGATAACATATGTAATAATTGTGTGTCATTAGGACAATTCTAGCTCTTGGGATAGTATCTGATCAAGTGGTTCTGCTCTGGACTAATAAAAGAAATCAAAGACTTCAATTAAAAACAGAAACTTCAGTTTTGTTAAAAAAAATCAGGCAGGAACGACTTGACTTTGGAAAATCACTATAAATCCATACTGATTCGAAATAATGTAAAAATTTCCAGATCACAAGTAGACACATAAAACTTCAACATATCAAAATTTCATTGAATTCCGAGTTAAGGAAGCAAGACAAAGACTAAATCCAAAACAGAATAGGCTGCAGAGTTTTCTGTTTTTTGCAGAATAATTCCAACTTTGAAAATTTGCCAAAAATCCAATTTAACTCCAATTTGAATGAAATCATATTTGAATTGAAATACTCATCGAAATGTCTATTTTTCACCCATCAAAAACCCAGTTTAAAACATAAATACGAACTAGATCATTTTGTCCAGAACAGAACACATACTCAGATTTCTGCATAAATGCAGATTTCTCAACATCCATCTCATTCTTTGGCATTCAGTTCTAATCAGCTTTAAACACCAAAACAGTCCCAAATTTAAGATAAAATGACTATTATCCCCTCAACAAACTCATAATTATCCAACACACGCAACTACCAAGGCCACAAACTTGAAAGTAGAAACTTACCCAACTTCCACTTCAACCCAAAATTACTCTGAGTTCTCTGTAGGTTCAGCCCAAGGTAGATTCTTCACCTAGTGTATTTGCATGTCATCAAATAACATCCGAAATCACTTACACAATCTCACTTAAATCAATGTACATTGTACTAGAATTCCAGCAGCAAGTATGGCAAACAAATCTTACCTTAACAGCTCCAAAGTAATCCTCAACCTTCAATGAGCAGCCTAGTAGTGACCACCATTCTCCCAAAACACACTTGGAAACAAGAGATTAAAGCTTAATCAGTCACTGACTCAGAAAGAGAAAATTTTAGAAACTTAACCAAATCCAAGAATGGTTTACCTTATCTTGTAGAGCTCGTTCATACGATCCTAAAGGCGAAAGCGGCGCAAGAATTGGAGTTGTAGAATGAAAGTTATGGTAGAAAGAAGTTTGAAGGACAAAGAAGGGAGAGTCGTGAAGTAGGAGCCGAACTGGAACCTCAACCTTTAAAGGCTTGGTGTACATTTGTCCTATTCGTAACGACCCCGACCTTGCGTCAGGGAAAGTGGCTGAAACTCGTGAAGAGAAACTCGAGAAACTTGTTTCCCCGTTTTTTCCTTTTTCGAATCACCAACACGCACATGTCCTTTCAATCCTATTCCAAAGTCTCACAAACATGGTCTTTATTTGGCATTTATGCTAAGTTTAATAATGAATCAAGAGCAAATTGACAGTAACTTATTAGAAAAAAAGAAGCAAGTAACAAGCAAATAAATGTACCTTGCGCTGCATTACAAGAGCAATCTCTCTTGCATCAATTTCTCCCATGCCACTCATTTCTACAATGGAATATTCTTTTACTAATTTTACTTGTATCTCGATTTTTATTTTCCCTTTCTTTCTCAATCTCCTTCCACTAAAACCTAAAAAGGGGCTCTCGAGTTCTAAAATTATAACCATTACAAAAGGAAGAACCTATATACATGAGCAATATGTACGTTTTGTACTAGGAAAGAAATTTGGTGAGGCACTTATATATAAATTTGGGCGATAAAGCCGATGATGGGATTAAATAAGTTTGTTTAGCTACAGACAAGTCATTCACATGTTACATCTGAATTTACAAAGACCACACATACAGCTGTTACGAAACTGAAAAGGTAACTGAAGCAACTTATCAATTTTCATGTCATTTCACGTGATCGAATATTCTAAATTTGATTTTTAACGTGCA